CAAAAAAGGTGCTATTCTTTTGAGTTCAACCCATTTAGCATTAAAGTTGGAAAAACATTCCTAAAACAAAGGTCTAATGCCAAAGTAAGATAAACCAGTTGTACACACTGTAGAAATGAAACAATTTTAATTGAGAAAAAGAAGTACACGCAGACGCTTTCACAAAAATGAATTGAAATATTACTATTTTTCAAAAGTGCCATTTTGGCACTTTGTGCCAAATTTAAAAATTAAGTGCCATTTGAAGTAAAAAAAGGGCAAAAAATGGCACGGTTTGAGCCAAGTTGGCAGCCCTGTTTGTTTGTGCTCTCCGCTCAATGGAAGTCACTACTTCAGCTTGTTGCGTCGCAAACAAAACGACGCACCACTCTGACTTAGGCCGCCCATTTATTATGCCGTGCGAGTAAATACGTATCGGCGTACTTAAATACCTACACATACATACATACATATGTATATAATACTTTTTCTTCCACAATTTGCTTTTACATTTCAATTCGCAGCAATCAGCCGTGAGTGTAGGTGTAATACTGTTGCTGATATTTGTTTTATTTATTTCTTTCTTTCTTTCTCTTTATTATCGACCCCCACCACCTCCCACCGTACAACGTATGTATGTATGTATATATAATAACTAAACCAGCACATTATTCTCTCGCTCTCACTCTTTGTTTTCATTTTCATAGCACTTTTACAACACCAAGCCCCAAGTTGGTTATAGGCTACTCGACTTCTCCGCTGTTCAGCTGCTGGCTCGCTCTGCTCCACCGATACAACCATCGTCAAACAAACAAGTTCATTCTCCAGTCACTTTTTTATATATTTTTTGCTTTTTGCTCATTTTAGTTGCCCACTTCGCTTCCTTACCTTTAATAACGTTTTGTTTTTCAGTTTTAAGAGTTCTAGGTTTTCTATTTCACCGCTTTTGTGTGTTGTCTTTTTTTTTTGTTTAGCTTTTCGTCTCTTCGTTTGTTTTATTAGTATTTGCCATTCTACTGGTGTTCGTTTGATCATTCGTTGCCGGTATGTCAGTGCACTTTTCTCGTTAAGAAGTTCACTTATAATTGTGTTTTATAGAATTTTTTGTGGCACAAATGCCAAAGAGTATCTCCTTTCTAATGCTTCTTGGGTCTTGTGTTCGACTTGTAGCTTTAAATTATGCTTGGCAACTGATACGTGCGCTTGGTCGAGTGGAGTGACATAAGCTTCGTCCACATTCCAAGATCATCTATTAACAGATTTCGTACACCGTCTTTGCAGGTTTTGAAACTATTTGTCTTCTAGCTTGTTTTTTGAGAGGATTTAGGGCTGCACTCCTCACTGCAGGTATCTCAAGCTCATAGAAATACCGTCTGTCTCGCTGCATGTTGCTCTTGCTTATATTCGCTAATACCGGTCGCTCCTTGCCAATAATCGAAGTGTAATTCTGCCATGAAAAGGCTTCTCACAAAAACCATCCGCCGTTCGTAGGCGGCGTAAAACTATGGGTCCCGCACTCCGACGGAAGGAAGGATGATGTACGCACTTATGAGCGCCTATACGTCCTATAACGAAATGAGGGACCCGAAGCATTGCAATCTCTAACACTTGGCAGATTGATCATTTCTGGATAGTCGAAAGGCACGCTTCCAGTATTTTGGATATACACACGTATAGTCCAAGCGCCAAACATTGACTTGCATTCCTACCATTTTGCACCCAAGATACGGACATGCTGCCGGGCAGCAACAAATTTTGATTAGGACACAAGAAGTTTCGATTTTGAAAAACTGCAATCAAAGCGGACAGTCAGTATTGCTGCCCGTGGGAAAACCCGAAAAATATCTTCACCAACTCGGCAGAGGAAACGATTTGCTTTAAATAATTTTTTAAAATACAACTTCTATCAAGCTAAATAATAACGGCTGCACTTTTTTGAGGTATGCAAATATTGGATCAGGATAGGAAAAATGCAAACATTTTGAGAGTTGAAACAATTCGTAAATTTTTTTAAGTCATTTTGATCAAAAACTTGAACTTTTCTCAGAAAAACGGCACCTTGCATTGCCATTGTATTTTTGAAAGGTAAACTATTTACCTGACCTTTAAATATTAAGGATTTAATGTTACTACGCATAAATTATTTTTGTAGGCTCCGATCCGAATTTAAATTGTATTCAATAAAAGAAAAGTATAATGTAATGTTAAATCTTGCCTCAAAAAATGAACCCTAGGTCACACTGATTGAAATACTTGTCGACCAGTACAAACGCCAAAAAATTTTATCATCTTCAGCGACTTACAGAGTTTTCAAGGCAGAGGCTAAAGTTTTGTTGACTTCTAAACCCTGAACTGAAGCAAGGTGAGAAAATGAACCCAAGTCTCCAGTCGATAACGACAGACTTAATATGCCATCACTCGTATATGCCACTATAAACTAGGAATTCACCATACGCAAAATCCTGAAGAAGTCTCGCGAGCGGAGGATTGAAAAGGCATCTCGTTGTTCCTCTTAAAGCCAGAAAAGGGGATGGCTATACGCCGCGGATTTTGTAACCCTGTGAATATAAAAGGGATACTTAAAATGACGTTGAGTAGCAGCATCAACTCGTTCAAATAGGAAATAGCCACTCCAATGCCTTTTAAAGCCAACTTTAATCGGATGTTTTGCAGGAGCTGTTTTCTAAAGCAGCCTACAATTACTGCCAAATGATATCGACATCATCGGTATCGGCAACCGTAATTGAATATGGAGGTGAACGCGGACAAGACCAAGCATCTCCACATTTAAGAAGGACAAAAATCTTCTTCTTATTAGTTTTGTTCCAGAATATTACACACTAGCTTCATGGAAAAAGTTCAATCTGATTAGTGCAGGGTCTCTTCTCGTATGGAACAAGTGTAGGTACTTAACTAATAACAATATCGTTATTGTACAAGTTCGCCCATTGTGACAATATTAACCAGAGATGCATACTGGAGGTCTGACCATGGTCCCATGGCATAATATTGTTGAATTCAAGATGTGAAGTGTATTTCTTGAATAAGTTCCATGTAATTCACTTTCGATTGACTTTCTTAAAATTTCCAGTTAACTGATTTTCGTTTACATTTTTTACGCTCTGAAAATTCATACAAATGTATTATGTACATATGTAGCTTGTAAATCTACCAACTACTTACAAACTTAATTACCTCCATACCTACATACATACATACATACATATTGAAATAAAAGCCGACTATACTTTACTAACACTATCGGTAATTTTTGGTTTACACTTCCATACACTAACATCACCGGTTGGTTATTCTTACAGCGCTTATTATCTTACGTACATATGTACATAGTACATAAATATGTATGTACATACGAGTATAACCACAATTTTTGTTGTTGATTGTTTTTTTTTCTCGAAGCGTTATTTTTCTCGTTCAGAAAGTGGTTTGCCTTCAAGTTGTCACATTTTTGTTCTGCCAACGTATTGAAGAGGTGGATAAAACTGCCTTTAATTTTTGTTTGTTCGATTTTTAAAACTCCATAAACCTGCTCTTTACTCTATTTCTGCTTTACACCTCCTATCATATACATATGTATGTATGTACGTATGTACTTATGTGCATAAGCAACTATACATGTACATTAGATCGCATCACTCCCCATACAAAAAAAAAACAAAAACAAAAAAAAAACGGTACGGTTTTTCCACTGGAATTATAAAATCTATTATATATTAAGCCTTTCACCAAAATATCTCGCAAAAATATTAAGATTTACGTGAGCTGGACCGATTTGAAAATACCTCCAAAAATTTAGTTTTTTTTTTTATTAATAAATACAGTTTTTATAAATATTTTTTGAAAAAAATTAACTAACTAACTAATAAAAATTGGGACGTGAATGAGTATTTTTGCAAAGAAATAAAAAGGGCGAGAAAATACCTTTCTACTGATACCTCATAACGCTATTTCTTACACAAATCTTTGAAAAAAGTTAAAAAGCAGCTTCAAAAATTTCATTATTATGATATTTATTCCGTTGATGTTGAATATTTTTATATAGATTTTTTAAGCTTAAACTGTTTTATCTTCTGAGGGGATTTTTTCCAAAAAAATCCTTTACGAAACTATTTTTATTCATAAAAAACTCCATTTTTAAAGGTATTTTCAAACCGGTCAAGCTCATGTAAATCTTAATATTTTTCCGAAATATTTTGGTAGAAGCCTTAGAATATACTAGATTTTGTAATCTCGCCGGAAAAGCCGCAACTTTTTTTGGTGATGCAGTCTAATGCACATTCATACATATGTACATTGATCATTTAAGTACTTATAAAATACATAGCAAGTGCCGGTAGTATGTTTAGTATAGCAAGGCGGTTATCAACACTATTTTATAACATATTTTTTTTTTAGAACTCCTTGTTTTGTGATCGCTACTCCCTTTTTCAGGTTTTTACATAGCTTAGTGATCGAGGCACGTAAGTGTATGAATCTTTTGTTAGGCTATAATGTTATAAGCTAAACTCATTGAAGGGGAACGAACGAAATTTATATTAACAGGAAAAGCAATATAACTGGCTTTCGGTTGTAGTAGGCGAAGAAGGTGACAGGTATGTATAATCCTCTGCAAGTGCATAAAAGGACGTCATAAATCCTCCAGATTTAAACGTATCCTAGCAAAGAGCCCCCCGCTCCCTTCGCCTACCTGAGAGAGGAGTAGTGAAGACTCGTTAAAGCATCTGCTTGCTTCCCATTTTCCTTGTAAACCATTCCCTGGAGAAAACAGCGTAGGGGCACGGCACGAGGTTTTCACTGCTCTCTATGCCCTGCAAGATTCTTGTCGCCTGGTATGAACAATAAACTCGTTTAAACCCTTCAAGTTCCCGCGATGGAACGACATCATACTCGAGCAACTCTAAACAGCGTTGTTATATTTAGGACTGGCGTCCTTCAGAATACAACTATTTTATATAAAAATAATTGGCTGGTTGGTTACTGTGCTTCTTTGCTAACTTATAGTTAACAACCTCGCTAAATTTTATTATAGAGAAGGCCTGTTGTTGCCGCTTTCTGAATTTTTCTGTCCTTGATCTAATCAGGTCAGAGTTCCCCAAATAGGCTCCAGGTTTTACTAATTCATGAACTCTGTCAATGCCTTCGATATTGCTATATCCAAATGTCAGAACATATATTTGGTTGTCAACTCTATTACCTAAGATGCTGCAAGTTATAAATTTACCTAGAACTTCCGCCAAGAAGATCCTTGAACCTTTACCCAGTTTTGGAGGCCGAGACACTGAGTTTCTCTGAGTAGACTCCCGCAGCTACATGTGGTAGCGTGGGAAGGCTAGTTAGTACCTATTCTTCCGGTGCATTGGCAGTTGGCACTCCTGCCATAAAGCTGGACATCGGCTGGAAACGAAAATGAAAAGCAGATATTTAGTAAAGCGAAGGTGCAGAAGAAACCCAAAAAATAACAAAGAGCTTAGAATGGCAACTGCAGAAGCTTGAAACACAGAAACAACGCCAAAAGTTAGTATTTAAATTCCTTGCTATTCAGAACTGCGGCCATTATAAAAGTCCAAGACGAACATTCCAAAGAATAACAAAGTTTTTCTGGTTTCGGCAATGTGCCATCTTATACCATGTCCCCACCGGAGCTAACCACGTAGTTATGGCTATTGAGTTGGTTATCCCGATAACCCACTTGATTTAGCGTAGTTTCGCCATATAAAAATGACAGCACTTAACCATTTCACTGAGATGGTTAAAAGCTAATCAACTCGAAACCACGTCGAAAGTCTGATACAACCCTGTGTTTTCCCGCCATCTGTGGGTCATTAGCGTTAAAATGTAAAGAATTCGTTCCCTACTATTGTTTGGACTCAGCTAAAATCAGATTAGATTTACTCCGGTTTTTAAAAATATTTGAAATCAAGTCCTCTACTCCGCTTGACTTCAAATCAATTCCGTTTTTTTCATTCATGTTATGCCCCTCTTGGGGCTATTTTTTGAGTGTCCACCACCGGTTTCGGTAAAAAAAATGAAAGTTAAAGTGTGTTTGCATTGTTCAACTTTGCGTTCAACATTTGCGTTCAACTCAGCGCAGGGTTGCACGAAAAAAAAGTTGAATGGCTAAAAATATCAAAATATGAAAAAATATCAAAATATTCTCCATAAAAAGGTGTTTGCATTGTTCAACTTTGCATTCAACTTTTGGTTGAATGGCTTTTCAACTAATCGCTTTCAACAAAGTTGGTCGCCAGCCAACATTTAGCCATTCAACTTTTTTTCGTGCAACCCTGCGTTGAGTTGAACGCAATTGTTGAACGCAAAGTTGAATAATGCAAACACTGCTTTAGCCAAATCTCACTGTTAAAAAGTAACTCTTTCATAGCAATGCGTCAATAAAGTAACTTCGTTGTTTTTGTTTTGCAACTTCGTTGTTGTTGTACAAATTGGCGGATGCAGAACTTAACTTAAGTTGTTAAAAAATACATGTAGAATGAAATTTATATAAAGTAGAAAAGGTTTGCTTTTTTAAAAATTAAGTGTTAGATACGTTCTACTATATAGAAAATGCTAAAAATTACCAAAATATGTAACATATTCTTACATTGCCTCGCGTAGGTATTTATTTTGCATGAATAGAAAATATTTTAGTCAAACAATTAATGTCAGTAACAAAAATTCAATCTAGTACGGAAAATTTGTTTTTTCTCCGATTTTTGCAGCAATTTAGTCCTGAATCGTTTTTGGGAGGTCCGAACACTGTTCTTTACATTTGTACTGTTTTATAAACCTCAATCCGCAGTGTGGACAGGAATAGTTAGTGAGGTGGTTAAGTTCGATTTGAGATGGTTAACTTTTAGGTGGGGACATGGTATTAAGTGTCATTTTTCGTTCTGCTCCGTACGTGCGTTTTTGTTCGTATATATCGAAGGATATTTACATAGATTAAAAAGTTACATTTCGTCATTCTAAGTTACTCATACGGGGCGTATCCGAAAAAATTTATATTTTTCTAAAATCGGAAATTTTAAGGACATGCCCCAATTACTTAACTAGCAACCATAAATTTGTAAAAAAATTACATTTTATGGTTTAACAGAAATTACTTTTGGCAATAAAATGTCTGGTTTTTGTCAGGGTTCGTATTTGCACACACATGCGCAGCACATCCTAACATTTTACGCTCACACACGTGTGCTGTGCATATAAAAAATTAAAAACTTGCTCACCTCACATGTGTGTGCCGTTTGGTAAAAAGCACGGGCACATGTGTGTACTTTATTTTTATTAATATAAAGCACACGCACATGTGTGTGCTTTGCGTAGAGAAACTTATACACTTCGATTTCTATCTCAAATCTTGAAATACTTTTTTAATATGTTTTCTGTCATATAAAAAACAAACAACATCTCACTTTTTATTGAATTGTCTTTCAAAAAATAACGTTTAATAAACAAATTCTTTTAAAAATATATTATGTGCATGTGCATGGGCTGAAATTTGTACAAAAATCGGCTCACACACATGTGCATGTGCTTAAAAACAAACAGCACACACTTTTCTGTGAGCAGAGGGTGTTTTCCACTTATGCACACACATGTGTATGAGCAGTGAGTACAAGTTGAATGTGTTTCTGGCGTGTGTGTGAGCAGAGCATGTGTGTGCAAATACGAACCCTGGTTTTTGTACCGATTTATGGTGTCGTAACCTTTAATTGAAAAGTTGTGTAAAAGCAAATTAAACCGATGAATATCGATCCATAAAATGTGTGTTGGAACTGACCCTGCTATGTTAACAGAAATAGTCAAATATAAAAATTGTAAGTTTAAAATTTTTACTTTTCACATTCGCGTTAAGATAGACAGAAGTTTTAAGTGACAGGTATCAAATTTCAAAGGAAATGCAATACCTTACTACTGACAGCAGTCTCAATCAATCTGGCCAATACCAGTACTGTTGATCTACCTTTCCGCTTTTTTTATTAAAATTATCAGCGCTTATTCAACTTCCACCGTCCTCGTTTTTTGCGCCGAATAACCATAGCAATTTAATTCTCTCATAATAATAAATGATTTTAATTGCATCTTAACAAATAAATTATTTATTTTCCTCCATTTATGTGTGCATACATATGAACTTACATATGTATACTTTTATGGATATCAAATTATCCAATCTATTGCAAAATAATTGAAATTTTGATTATGTCACTGAGAGTCGTATATACATAAATATGTATGTATGAATGTAAAAATATATATGTACATATGTAATTAAGCAATAACGCAAATTACGAATAGATATAATTTAATATTGGCAATTATTTCAATAGATACTTTTTCGTGTTAATTTTTCCTAGACATAAAATAATAATATAATTTACACATACATACATAGCACATACTTAAAGATTTTGTGAAGTGTTTTCATTTAATCCGATTCTGGTTTCGAAGAAACTGGTGCACTCAAGCCAAGTTTACAACACCACTGCCACTGAATTCCAGCGTGGTTCTGATTACTTCTTCTTCGTAAATTTCTGTGACATTAAGTCCGTTAATTCCCTGTTAGACATTGGGCATCATGTATAAAATCTGAGCTTAAGCTCAGACTAAATTTTTGCACTGCGCATGCACGCTACGACTTTTTATTTCTGGAAATCCCTTCCAAGTCAATTAAAGTTGCTTCCCTTCAGGTTTGACTGACCTTCTCTACGCCTCACGCGGCCCATCTCTCCCACATATTGGCTTCCTTCCCTTGGTCTTCTTTGCAACGCTCCCGTACTCTATCCGATTTTTTAGGATCCCCTAAAAAAATAATTTTATTGGAATTAAAAAAATATACAACTCAAAATAATTAACTGATTTCATTAAATTCTATATCTAACTATAAAAATCGAATCTGAAAAATCACGTAAATCAAATTTTGTTATGAAAAAATGTAGTTGAAGGACAGATAAATTTTAAAACGTACTTGAGAAAATGGCAGTCAATGCCATAAAAATAAATAAATAATAGATTAAAAAAATTTAAATGTGAAAAAAATTAAATAAGAATAACTGATAACTTCCTTACGATATCTGGGGAAAAACAAAAACAAGAAATTTTTAAGCCAAAAACAAAACCGACTTTAATTAAAGAGTACCGTTACTTTATTCATCAAGTGACCGGATCTAAACCAATTTAGTATGCGACCACCTCTGAGGCATCACCTTTCCTTTAAAAATAATAATTATAGAAATCGGTTAACGTGGTCTAAAGTTATGCTGTAACATACACAAAAAAATAAATACAAAATATTCCGACGAATTGAAAACCTCCTCCTTTTTTTGAAGTCGGTTAAAAACAGAATTGTGAAATCAATTGAAATAAATCAAAGAACCAGCAAGTATGCATTTAAATGTAAAAAATAGAAATTAGAAAACAACTCTGTAAAACATAAATAATATTAATAACTAAAAAAATTATTATTATGAAAACTTGTCATAATTTGGCGCGACTAAAATTTGTTCGACCACTGTATGTGTGTAAACATTACTTGTAACATTTTTTCTTTATTTGTTAACTAACTTTATATAAGTTTAATTTGGTCTATGAATATATATGTACATACATAGCCTGAATTCCATTAAAAAAAATGAACAGACAGACCAGCAATATGTCAAAATACACACAATTTTTTTTTTTTTTTTGTAAATAAGGAGATATCCATGGGTGGGGAATTTTACGAAATTTACAGCAAAATCAGGCAAGCTGAAAACATAAAAATAAAATAAAAATTCAAGCATATTAATCGTGCCAAGTGTTTACTTATAAATACTAACTAATAAACACATCTGTAGGTACATACGTATGTATGTGTACAACTGCGATACGCAGTGAAGTAAACAATCATAAATAAATAAAACAAAGCATTGAAGAGCAAATGGTAAATCTTAAAAACAAAACAATAACAAAAAATAATGAAAATCGCCATCGGCCACTGAGTCACTTCTGGCCAACGCACAGGCGCTCTTCGACTGCAGAAAACAACTAACGACTGCGCAAATATTATTTCACTTTTTTTTATTAATAAAAGAAACCCGTCAAACTCAAAACAAATTCGTAAAAGAAATTAAGACAATTAAGACAGAATTAATACAAGACTACGGCATGTATGCAATAAAATATGGCCAATACATTTGGCGATTACCTATCGTACCTTGTGGCTGAGTTCCCCATTATTGCCAGCGTCACTGAAATCGCCATCGACGCCCACCAACGCCAACAGTGAATAATAGCGTCGTCTTCATAATTTTCCACAGCAGCCGCATCAGCAACAAACAACTCAAACGAAAACCCGTGATCTCGTGCTTTGTGCCGCCGTCTTTGATCCTCTGCCATCTCGGCGCCCGTCATGCTCGACAGCGACCTTAATTGTTTATTTTTTGTCAATACATGGCAGCAACAACGAAGAATCCCTCACCGCCCACGCCGCCAAAATACGATTAACGGCAGCAACAAACAACATCACCAGTGTTGCCGTTGAGAATTTTCAGATATGTAGTCGCAAAAAAGGGGTCATCGACGAAAAAAAGGGTCGCCATGTTATTTTTGCTTTCTTTTACTAGTAATAGAATAAATCTGAGATCCAAAGTCAAAATAAAATTTACGCGTATTATAAAGTCTTTTCGCTGCCAGAACGTTCTGCTGTTGAATTTAAAAAAAAAATAGCGGGACAATCTTTGCACAAAACAGATTTGTAAACACAGAAATCAAGCTGCATTTCCTTTAAACGTTTTAAGTGATTAATTTTTTGGTACCTACAGTGGGAAATATTTTTTAGTAGCATGGCTCTGTCAACATTTCCTAAAAAATCTTCGAGAAGCGGCAAAACTGCCACATAATTTTGGAAAAGGGTCAAAAAATCAAAATTTTCAAAAAGTCGGATCAAAGGGTATTGGCGCTTAAAACTGGTCAAATTGCTCCTTTAGTCGCATAACGGCAACACTGATCATCATTGGCATCAGCATCATAAGGGTGCGCGCGTCGCTTTGTCTTTTCTGGTCGTTCGCATATCGTTGCGCGCATCATAAATGCGCTCGCCGATCATGTTTCTCACCTTCAGGCAAACAAAAAAAAAAAACTTTTAAAACCATTTGCAATTCGGCGATCGGCAACGATTCTGATTCTTGTAAATTAAACTGTACCCTGCTCGTTTCTCACAAATTAGCAAGAGTCCACCTCCTTCTCCTCTCAACCTCTTTCGCTCAGTGCAGTTTTGTTCGACGACAGTCTAAAATTTTCCTGCTCGAAGTGGGCAGGTGGTGCGGTGCGCGATTCGCGAGGGATTACGTCGAGCGACATCCACCAGTTGATTTATTTATTACTCGTGCGGTACACTCGCCGCCTACTCGGCCACTTGGCACGTCATTCGTTCGTCGGCGGCATTCAAACGTTGGCGCATCATCAACGGACAGATTAATAGCACGTCGCGTCGCGTCGCCGCTTAAATCACAAGCACTCGCAGTCGATTTTGTGTACACGAATGTTTGAAAGTCTCCCAGTAGTACACCAACCTTCCGACAATCGAAGAGATACATACATACATACTAAATATATGTACATTAGGGTGGATAATTTTTTTTATATATTTTTTTATATGTTGTTTGTCATAGTAGTATTCGGCGTGAAATTCTAATCAAATTGGCCGAAGAGACTATGGGTATAAAATAATTTTCTAGCTTGCTAGCTTGAAAAAAAAAAATTCACCATTCTTTGAATTTCACGTAGAGTACTCCTACGCTCTACCCGCATAGTTGAAAAAATCTTCCATAGAAGTTGACCCGCCATAATGTATATATGTTATAGGTACATATATAAATTGTGAATTTCCTTAGTGAGAGAGAACGCGTGCAAAAACAACATTACGCAGCGTGCGCACGTCGTTTATCCCTCCCCCCGTCAATTGCGGCAATTTAATGAAATTTATTTTATTAATGAATTAACGCATGCAGTAGCAACTCACAAGCAACAACAGAAACAACTAAAGCAACAAGAACAAAAAAAAATCTCAACGCTTAGCGCTGTAAGAAGCGCAGCGGCGTAAAAGAAACCTGCACTCGCTCTTTAGAAATCACTCGAAAGCATAAATCAGCATTTCCTCTGTGTCGTTTAACAATTTCAAAGTTTCCAACCTAAGCAGGGGCACAAAGTCAGTACAGCCGTACACAGCGCTAGCTACAAGGAAAGCTCAACGACTACTCAATTTATTGTACAACGACAACGCTCGCGCCGCCTTTTTACTTACATATGCGACATTGCACTCCGTCGCTACGGCTACGGCAATAGCATTGCTAATGAGCAGAGTAGGGCAGAGCAGCAGCGGCAGCGGCAGCGGCAGCATAAAAATGCACACCCACAAAATTGAATTGAAAGACGTCTAGCTAGCTTCCTGCCCCCAAAGAAGCCTTCGACTTAACGCACATCAAGTGAATTGAATTCGTATACGTGAGCATAGTGTGGTCCAATATAGTATGTAGACGGGCGTTAAGTCACCAATCAGCGTGCAATCAACATCGCATCGTACAATATTTACTTATTTTCTACATACATACATTGCATCTGTTTGGAGTTCGTGGCGGCGGCTACGACGTTAACGTTGCGCAAACGTATACGCAGCGATGGCAGCCTCAACGCCAGATAACTATAAAGTTCCATCGACAAGTAAAATATCAGTGGATAAATTGTTGCGTGTTGGCTATTATGAGTTGGAGAAGACAATTGGCAAGGGAAATTTTGCAGTGGTCAAGTTGGCGTCCAACATTGTCACCAAATCGAAGGTAAATATTATTAAAAAAAAAAAAATACTTTGTGATGTTTTTAGCGTAAATACTATTTATTTAAATTTAATATTTCATACACATTGCTCATAGAACATTAGGATGGTCCAAAAATGCACGTGAAAAAGTAATGCCGGAATTTGTATGCTGTCACTCCCTAGTATTGTTCTATTCCGAAAAAAAGATATCCCTATTTTTTCTAAATATAAAAATATTTACAGGTCGCTCAAAGCGCTCAAAATTTTACATGTATTTTATATGAAAAAAAAATCACTTTTCATTGAAATGGTATAGAATTCTTGAAAATCCATATTTTTCGATCGGAGAAATGGGTTTCTCTTCAGGAGATTCCCAATAAAAATACCCAATTGTTTTTTCAACCATTTTTTCATCGTAACCATAATTTATGGGTCCCCTAAAAATCCACAAATACCCCGAAAACTGCAATGGGGGACAAATAAAAAAACATTAGTCTTAAAAAATTGTTAAATAAACAATTGGGTATTATTATTGAAGAGAAATAAAGTTGTTTTTTCCCATATAAAATACATGGAACACTTTGAGCACTTTGAGCGACCTCTAAATATTTTTTTATTGCAAAATATATAGAACATTCCTGTGAGAGCATTACAATTCCGACTTTACTATTTTTGGACCTCCCTACTGTATATATATATGTACATATACTTATTAGACCGAGTCGAACAATAAAGGTCTGAAATTAGCCTGCGAACATTAACTGCTATGAAACTCGACCTTGACCTCATTTCAGCTGAGCCTTATTGAAGAATCTTCTACAATCGAAAGAAAATCCTGAGAAATTCTGCTGTATACTAGATTTCGATTTCCCGAGAGAGTTCGAGAAGCAATTTCTCGCGAGGATCGCTTTCTCACGAGATTCTCTTGTATCGCAAAACTCGTTATACTCGCGAGCTTCTCGACGATCAATTTAAGGCACCTTATTTAATTTAGGGTATTTAAACCCTGAACTGTTGAATTTCTTTCAAGCGCAATACTCGTCGCTCTCCAGAATATAAACCATGTGCATGGTCCTTTCCAGTGAGGTCTTTACTGTCCAACCATGAGGAGGAGGTTTACAAATACCAGATTGCACTGTTCCTCTCCATTTATTACTTTTACTCACTTTCTTTGCCGGAGCCATCAAACGCAAATAATACACATACATACATACATACACAGCATACATATACCCAGTAAGAACCCTATCTGTTAACTAATGCGTTATATACGCCTAGTAGTACTACAAACAGTTTGTGTGAGAAATTCAAAACCGTTCCATCATTTTACATAGGGCTCCTGGAGAAATCTAACACATAATCGTCTCACGTGTGAGCAGTTTTCTCTTTCTAAATTCTTCTTATACGCACAAACATTTTTTTTTTTGACAATAGAATATTTAACACTTACTATATATACATATATGTACATATGTATGTATGAATTCTTTGAATTGATTTAAATTAAAATTTTTGGGTGTCAAAATCTGCATTAGACTTTAAAAATCAACACTTTCAGGCGCGTAGTTTACTTGGAATGTGTCTTTATTAAGGATATGTCAAAGCAATAAAGATACCTAATGTTGCTTTCCATAGTTTTCTCATTACTTCAAGTAATTTGGAAAATTTAATAATTTTCGCACCATTGTACTTTCTTGCAAAGCTTAGCAATGATCAATTGTTTAATAGAAATGCTGCGTGTTCGAACTATTTTATGCATCAGCTATTTGTAAATATTTAAATAATTATATGTACATGCATATCACATATGTATATATGTACGTTTGTATGTATAGTATTGATAGTATGCAAATGTATGTAGATATGTATGTACATAGATACGTATGTATTTTCAAACAGTCATAAATAAATACCTAGCATATATGAAAGTAGTTACAAATTTTTTTGATAAGCTCTAGAAAGTGTGATAAGCTCTGATGTATGCGTATATGTATGTATGTATGTATATACAATTTATATGTATGTACATAGTATACAGACCGGATCAATCTGGCCTGAGGCAGTACTCTCACGTTACTCTCGATTTGAATAACGAGTAGCTTATAAGGAACCCTGCAGAAAAAATTTTTAATTGATAAAAAATGACCGATCAATACCTAACATTTAATTAGCTGTGACAAAACTAACTTTAAGTGAATTGTAAAGTCGTGAAGGAGTCATGCGTTATCGGGAGTTTGTTTTCTTTAAACAAGCCTCTTTTTAAATATCCTCATACAAAAAGAACTTTGAATACATCTTTTTTCTGAAAGATAAAATAAAGATCGTAATTTTATATTATTATGGCACCACCTGCAAAAGAACTTGTAAACAAATAAGTAAATTTGTAATGTTCCATGAATTAAATAAATAAAAATGTAAAAAAAAATCGTTCTTATTGATATTTTATGTCCAAAAGTAGTTAGCTACAAGTTAGTTGACGTCTTTTTAGTTACGGCCGAAGGAAATAAATATTAAAAAGTTACAACTAGTTGACTGCTGGGTAGTTAAAAGTTAATTATAAACTAGCACCGTTTCCTGCAGGGTACATTTCCATGCATACATACATATGTACATTGACATAAACACATCTACAGGCAACATGTACATGAGTTTATGTATGGATATACGTATGTATATATTTATGTATGTATGTATATGAACATTAGACATTACCACCATATAAG